AGAGAAAACAAAATAGAACAAGGACACATGCAAGTGTTGAGCTTTTCTTTAAATAGAATTTGTTCTTCTGAAGATGATTTGATCTTTTTAAAAATGGAATTCAGGGATCATATCTGCTTGCTTCATCTGCTATACAAATGGAGGGTCTTAAAGGTCAGGTTTGTTGACATGACTTATTTTTACAAATACTGCAGAAAGTCCAAATTTCAGTTCCTGGGTTATTGTTATTCTAAGGATCACAATAATAGGTTGATTGCAGCTTTTCCTGAGATCATTGAGAAACATTGCCAGTTAGAATAAACAGTATTATACTAGATAGACAAATAGTTTCTTGAGGTATCATTCCAATGGATCAGAGCTTGGTTGATTCCAATCCAAATATGCACTGCATATTAATAAGTGCTGATGAGAGGTTAATAACTTACATTAAAAGCACTTATAGATTGCTGTCTCAAATACGGCATATAGCACTATAACATAGTTCGCAATTGTCATAATTAAGATTTCAGATCATGATTTGTGCTCTTTTTCTCCCTTTACCTGAGAATTCCCGCATGCTATCTAAACAGTGCCCTGTGAAAGCAATGTTCTAAATAATTGTTTTGCCCATTCATCTCTCAGTCAGCTTTGCCCTGTGGTTTCAGATCTTGATTTGACTGTTTCCAAACCATGATTTATCTGACAGCATAGGACAGACATTACACAATTTCTACTGTGTTTTTAATTAAATGGGGGAAAGAGTGTCTAGTTTTTATCTTGTTTTTATGAATGCACATTAATTTATGTTTTAGTTTTGTAAAATTAGCAAAGTGAACTTAAAAGCAATATTATCTTTTCTTTCTAGGAAAAATTTTGAATGTTCACCCTTCTTTGCTGCCTTCATTTAAAGGAGCTAATGCGCATAAACTGGTACTGGAGGCTGGAGTCCGTGTCACTGGCTGCACTGTGCACTTTGTTGCCGTATGTGCTTATTTTTATTACACTGTTGATAAGTGATAAATTTAGTTTAAAGCCTTTGGCTAGTAGCTTACCAGCTCATAACAACTTTTGATAGCAAAGTGTAGTAAGGTCAACGTAAGGTAATCAGGGATCTGAGCTATAATCTGTATATTTCAGTATAGCCTAAAGGTCAATCACATTTCAGAATTCTGAACATCGATATGAATCCAAATTGAATATTGCCATTAACAGGCTATGTTAAAGAATCTGAGAATTTTAAGTAATTGTAGATGGAGCTGTTTGGGGTACTTTATTTGCTCTAATAATTGTATAGTTTACTCATGTTTTTTCTGGCTTTCATAGTACGGTGGCTTTTATGATTTCTTCAATAGCTAACTAAATTCATAGAGGCAGTGGTTTAGAATTCTGTGTGATCCCAGCCATTGCTGATTGTCAACTGTGATATATGCTACAAAACATGGAGTTAAATAAACTAGTTGTGGGATTTACTCAATAAACAATGTTTAAGTAAACCATGTCTTAGCACAATGCATAATCCCAGCCAATGAATGTTTTCTCTATGTGGGTTTGTTGTTTAAGAATTAAGTTAGCCACTCTCAATGTATCCTGTATTGTTGCAGATAACTTTAAAGGAAAAAGTGTATCTCTGCATCTCGCTAAAGTTTTTATACTTTTCTCTCCAGGAAGAAGTTGATGCTGGAGCAATAATATTTCAAGAAGCTGTTCCAGTGAAGATTGGAGACACCGAGAAGACTTTGTCAGAAAGAGTGAAGGAGGCAGAACACAAAGCCTTCCCTGCTGCTATGCAGCTGGTGGCAAGTGGAGCAGTGCAATTAGGAAGAGACGGGAAGCTGTGCTGGAATTTGGAAAAGCATAACTAAAACATAGAGGGGATAAAAACAGCAACAAATTCTGGTTCATATTTTGGTTTCTGAGTAACTCAAGCCAATAGATCATAAAAATAACAGAAATGAACTTGCTGTCTCTTATACTCAAAACAGAACTATATGGAGAAAGGTGTAAGTGACAAGCCATTTGTGTGATCAGTCCATTCACAGTATAACAGGTTGTTATCTGAAAAGTATGTGGAGAGCCACTTGCTCCAAATAGTTTGCCATTTTACCTGTTACCTATCACAGAATTCTGCTTCAAGGTGTCAAATTCTATGTTTAAATCAGGTCTAAGAAAGACACCACAAAAAGGTCATAATCACAAATATGAATTAACCATTTTAAAAGAACCTAGTTTTTCCTGCTAAATATTAAGGTAATTCAGAATCAAGTTCCTTCATTTTCTTTTCCATAGTAGTGATAACAAAAGTTCTTGTATTTTGTAATCCTGTATTAAATACTCTGAACATAGCAGTATTGTTGAACAAAGCAGTATCATTCCATAACAGAACTATACTTAACTGATCTCCCATGTGAGACAAATCCTTCCACCACTTTTCTAAATAAGTTGTACTGTGAAACATTCAAGTTTTTTTTTCATTATGGAATATTCCATAACAGAACTATACTTAACTGATCTCCCATGTGAGACAAATCCTTCCACCACTTTTCTAAATAAGTTGTACTGTGAAACATTCAAGTTTTTTTTTCATTATGGAATATTCCATAACAGAACTATACTTAACTGATCTCCCATGTGAGACAAATCCTTCCACCACTTTTCTAAATAAGTTGTACTGTGAAACATTCAAGTTTTTTTTTCATTATGGAATCATGCAACAATCTTTTTTCAGGATATTTTTATCTTAACAGTTAACATTATGAAGATAAACAGAAATTCATTTAATTCGTGTTTGAAAGCAAAAAATGGAATTATTGCCTAAATAATATATACTTTTTCATAAAGCATTTTATTACTGTCTTTAAAGGGAATAAATATGTATTTCCACTGAACTTTATTTTTGTTATTAACATAAATGATCAGAATCCAGAGTATTACTATGATATTCCTTTTAACTCTGTTTTTATATCCAAAGATTCTGTGATCTGAAATCCTAATCTAATAAAATGTTTCAAAATTCTCATATTAATGGATCTCTTTCTGGTGGTTAAACAAAAGTCCATTCATAGGTAGAATAGTTGAAAATAAGTTGTAACATCTGTTGGTTTCTAGGAAAAAGAAGATGTTCAGAGAAATCTGATAATGAAAAACATTTATTAATTGTTCTGGGACCTGAAATAAATCATTGAGTTCCTGCTTCAGGCCATTTAACACAAATGGTCATCTGTTGTATCTTGCATCACTTGACATCATTCAGAGTTTATCCATTAATAGTGGAAAGCAGTTTCAACTATATATCCTTTTGCTACTCTCACTAAACTAAGCCCATCCTTCTTGATGGGCAAGATGGGGGCATCAGCCAGGCCTCTTATGCCTAGAAAATAATTCGATAGAGGTAATGTCAAGTAGCAAAAAATATAGTACTTATTTTTTCTTTTAATATGTATTGTCTTAGAGCAGTGTTTTCTGACCTCAGCAAATTCCAGATGCATAGACCTTCACTCTCAGAATTCTCCAGGGCCATTGCAGAGAATTCTAAGTGTTTTAAGTCCATTCATCTGAAAATTGCCAAGGTTGGGAATTGCTGCCTTACAATTTCCTAAAGCTGGGTGTTTTACAGAGAAGTATTTGAGATCCATGTTGCATACTAGAATTATATAGATATTTATTACAGACCAGCAAATTAAACAGTAGGTATCTGAAAAGAAAAAGAACAGAGCACAAGAAGCCATGGTATTAGAAGAAAATATATAAACATTAACTGGAAAAAAACAGAAAAATGCCTAAAATCTAGAATGTTTCTAAAACATCAATAAAAGTGCTTATAGTAATTTACTACAGTGCAGTGAATACAGGAATATAATCTAGATAATAGAAACAATGTGACAAATTAATTAGTAAAAATACTTTAAGCCAAGAATGCTGAAGTTCTACTGTACCTATGCGACATAGAGCTATTAAGTGAATATATGTTTACACGAGTTTATGTGAATGTAAATGTATATAAATAAAATTGTATATTGGTCAATGACAAAATATAAAGGGAGAAATAAAACCTTGACACTATGAGACTTCAAGAACAAAATGAAGTTATGTATTATAAAACAAAAAAAAATAGTAGTAGTTTCCTACTTAGGGCAGTGGCAGCTGAAAGAAATTTTGTGATTCTCCTGGAAGTGTTGGGGTTCTGGTCTGAGAGTAAGAAAGAAATATGATTGTCCTCAGACAAAATGGATTCCTATTGATAGGTGGAAGGATGAGGATAAAGTATAGGTTACTATAAAAGGGCATCAGGAACATGTGGGTTAGGGTCTCAGGGTTCCTCCAGAGCACAGAGACAAATTCATTCTGTAAAAGGGATGTTACTGCAGATAATATTGCAGAGGATAAGGCATTAAAACAGGCTAAAGAAAAATCTCTATTATGTGATGGGCAGGTGATGAGGGGTAAATATTGTAATTTGCTGGCATGAAGGATTTCCATTTAAGTAGTGTCAGTTAGGATCTGGGGTCCTAATATACAGCCCCTAATGTTCTGAAGGGCTGTGTCATACATCCACTGCCAGATTGCCGCTTTTGCTTTTAGAAGCCCCAGAGCTAGGAGGCTGTTACTTGAAAAACTACACTGATGTAAATCATTCTGGATCCCAACTTTCCAGGAGAAGGAAGAATGATCAAAAAGTATTGTAGCAGCCAGGGAATTACTAGACAACCTAAGCTTGAGCCAAAAATAAAGGCAGCATAGACAGGCCCCTAAAATCGAAAGAATCAGCCCACTTTCTGAGCGAAGGGCTGCGTTGGAAATGCAGAGAGGTACACTGAATAGCACTCTTAAGAATTGGGACTGTATTGTGTCTAAGGACTTTTGGTTGTTGTATGTGCACATCTGAGAGCCATATAACATTTGAGAGAGAGATTTAACTGCTCTGATGTGAAAGAAGCCAATTTTAGCACTATTATTGGCCTTATTGAAACAGAATTATATAAACATATAACCCAGCACCCCAAATCCCGTATTGACTGACTGACTGACTGGAAGTTTATGAAAGGAATTACTTAGAATTACTATGAATGATGCATCAAGATATTGCTGTTTTAGTTCTTTAATTGGAATGTACATCTATGTGCACACCTGAGGAGGAGGAGGAGCCAACATACTACATGGTATTTAGAAGCTACAAGGAAACAGATAGCAGTGAATTACCACACCAGATATAACCTTGGCTGTTCTTTATATGATGTGTACAATAATATGCAGTAGCTACACAACATTTAGTAAGAATGTATTTTCATAATGGTATATCATGCTGACGTTTAAAATACTGCTTCTTCATGAGACTAAGGATTGTGCTGGAAGAATAACATAAATAATTTTTAAAAAATTAAATCACAGAGCTGCTTATTGAAGTTTCCAGAGGGGTAGCCATTACCTATTGTGATTATGGTCCAGGAAACCTTACGTCGTAGCAGTGGTTGGCCTTTAAGGTGCCAGAAGCCTCTTTGCTATATATGCTTGCTGGAGGTTTCCTTTAATACACAAAGACATTAAACAATAGTCATCTGCTAGTAATAGTTTTCTTTTTCCCTGTAACCATGAAAGCATGGACATTGTAGCACAAAAATTACTGATAATTAAACCTAGAAGAATAAAACCCTAAACCTCAAGATGACTGCAGAACAATGAAATTGGTTCACTACATTTGATAATCTTTACATGAACAGCGAGTCTCAAGTTTATTTGTGTTATCAAGTTTACTTAAGTTGCTTACTATTCTTGATCACAAAGACAGGTTTAATTCCTATTTATATACTTGGTATACAATTATTAGATATTTCCATTAAAACTTCTTTATGCTACTCTTAATGTGATTAAGCATCTGAATTCCATTTTGCAATGAGACATGGGCCTAAACAGGAGTGCTGTTCAGCAGGCTCTGTAACAGCCAAACCAGTTTGCATCCAACACATGTCGCTACTTGAAAGATTGTGAAGCTATTCTAAATGTTGCATAGGATTTGTGCTGTGGCATCTGCCTCTTTAAAACTAGAAAAACCATAGTTGCCATCTCTACAGGGCCAGGATGGAAGATGAGCTAATGTGCTACCTAAGGATAATTATAGGCCATAACCTAAATGCCTTTTCATTTATCCAAGAGTAGACAGCATAGTATGTAGATAATGGATTCCAAGGCATTTCAGATCATTATTGTGATAGACACCCCGGGAAAACAAATTCCGGATAGCACATACACACACCACTGCCAACATTAGACCAGAATGCACACACAATTGACTTGCAACCTGATCCTTTCTACCTCTTACCTTCTACCTCCTATCGAAACCCAGGAGAGCCAGGTAGCTAAATTCCTGAACAAACACAACTCATCCCTTGCCTTGAGGTTAAATTGCTTGGGAGAGGTTGACTTTTGTTTTTGGGAATTCTCTCCAGGACCAGCAACATGATAGTGAGGAAGGAAAGAAGGGATTTAAGACCACTCCATGATGAAGTCTTCCTGGATTTAGGGAGGAAAATCCAACATACCCAAAATTCTCAAGAAAGTGCACAATTCTCTGAGTTGCATGTTACTTTGTTCTGTTATATGGGCTGAAAGCCCTGCCTTAGCTATTTTCTTTGAGGCATAATCTCTGTTTTGGATGGACCTATTTGCTATGTTTTTTACATCTGCTGTTTGCTTAATCCTTTTCTTAATGTCTAACACATTTTTTCACAGTGTTTTTCAAACTTGACAACTTTAAAGTGTGTGGACTTCAACTCCCAGAATTCCACACAACTTAAAGTCCACACATCTTAAAGATGCCAAGTTTGAAAAACATTGATCTAACACCTACACATGTTCCTCTTTGCTATTTGAGTCTTAATAAACAGTAAATACTGCTTTAAGCAGTGAACATTTTGATTTAGGAGCTTGTAATCTAGGGCCTCAGTTGCTGCAGATTAACTACAAATAACAGAGATTAAGCTACCCTTGTGCCATTTCAATTAATAGAAAGGGGAAGGCATTTCCTTCTTTCGGTCTTGCTCCTATATCCTTGGCTGAGGAGGTAGTGGCAGCAAATACCAGGGCCATCTATAACTGTTTCATCTCCTGGGCTGACTTTTTTGGTGAGCCTCAGTGGTGAGGAAGTCCCTGACAATTATGCTTTAGTTATTGCAATATAAGTAGGGTAGAAAAGAAGCCCAAACTCAGTGTCTCATGCTGCAGTCATCTGCCTTTGGGAAGGGGAACTACTTGTAGCTCACATTGTGCCCATGGGCCACCTTTTCCTCACCCCAAGGAACCATTGCTGGTCCTAATGCTCTGATTCAAGGAAGAGAAGCTGAAACTGTGTATAAAAAAAGAAAACTAGTGATTGTATAAAAGGATGTGACAAACTGAAACCAAAATTGAATTAGAACTTGAACTATTGTCATTTGTCACATACTGTATATTAAACTGTTGCTACAGAAGCATTAACAGTCCTGCTTCTCCTTTTGGCAGATTGGCTCCTGTCTTTCTCTTTTCCAATAGGTTTTTCCATCTCCTCCCAACTGCACCATTCCACTGGCAACCAGTTGCAAAGCCATGGGAAAGACGCGGTTCTCTGCTTCTTTGATCTTTTCAGATAAGGTCTCCTGTGCATCTTCTGCCTTCGCATATACAGGCTCTTGTAAAATTATTGCTTCAGGACTAGTCTCCTCCTGAAAGAAAGAGAAGGGGAAAAAATCCCTTATCAAGAAAATTACTTATTAAGATTAATGTGAAGGAGAAATAACTAAAGACAGGGTAGTATCACTGAAACTTACTAGAAACTTTAGTTACAATATGAATAGAAATGTTCACAAGCATATGAGACAGTGGATTAAGAAAACATTTAGAAATGGGGCAAAGATACAGTAAAAGGATATTTTATTTAGGTAGCATATGAAGAATTTTGCTCAAACATGAAATCAAGACAGTACTCCTCATCCAATATATTAGAGTAGCCAGAGCAGAATGCTGCCCTCCACACTAACAAGAGTAAGTGGAGCTGTAGCCCAATACATCTGGAGAGCATTTAGTTATGCATGGTTGCATCGGAGGGTAAATTCCATAAAATTAGTTACCAGAAAATGTAAATGGACTATGGACAGAAGGGAGATAACTTAATTAGGAATATTTGAGTTAATTCCTTTAATTCCTTTATTTATTTTTATTTTATCTTACTTATTATTAGATTTATATGCCGCCCATCTCTCCCAGACTCTGGGCAGCTTACAGTTAAAACCAAGACAATAAAATTATAAAAATATAAATACTCCCCTGATTAAAACACAAACAACAAATCTATTAATTTTTACACAAAGTTAGAGGAATAACAATATTCCATAGCTCCAATTTCTATAAAAGGACTTGCCAAACCTGATAGGTATGACTAATTTATAAATGCAGTTACACTAAACAGCAAACAGACAAGCCATGCTATTTGTGAACAGAATAATTATTACTTACCAATATATAGAACACAAAACATGCGTTTATTGCAAATCCAGAAAAACATACTTACAAGGACAAAATGCACAGTACAGCCAACAATTTTGTCTGCAGATGGATGTACTTGGTTATAGGCGTCTCTTCTTTTAGTTAATGGTGAAAGTGATGGATAAGTTCCCAACATCTTCCCTACAATTAATAATCATATTGGGAATTATCAAAATGCATGGACAAGAAGCAAGCAAATCATTAATTAAAATTAATTGCTTTAGATTATACGTGTTTAGTCTGGAAATTCAGAAATCCTTACTGGCTAATAGAAAGGGTTGTCTTATATATGACAAACTTTCATCAGCTAATATCTTTTCTCAGTAGTAATGAGGAGTAAATATACCAAATCCAAATTCCAAAGCAGAAACCTCTCCTGGCCTCTGCAAGGCCCCCTCTCTCTTGACTTTTTAAATGTTTAAAACTTTATTTTAAAAGTCAAATAAAATGTAGTAGCAAGTTGGCATGCTGCAATGCAAAACATGTAATCCCACCATTATCTTTATTTCCAAGGACACCTATAAGTTCCAAATGGGCTCATATAGGCATTATTAAAAAATAAAGATGATGGTGCTAGCCATATCCCAGGGAAAAAAACAACAGTTAGATGGGTACTGGTAGGAAACAAAGGGAGCTAATAGGAAAAATGGCACAAAGCATTCTTATTGGTCTGCCTTCTGATAAACAGATATTTTATGTCTGGCCATTTCTGCTACGTCAACCAGTGAATAGACAAGTCTCCCACTCCCAAGTGTGGGACTGTTCCTGACATATCCTCAAAATTTCATATGGACCCAACACTCTGAAAAGAGCATGAACTCTACCATACAATAGTCACACAAACAAGAAAAATCAACACATGACATATTTTTGGCTCATTTTTTCAGCATGCAATGGCAACAGCATACTTCCTAAATCTTTCTTCAGTGAGAGTGGAACTCTTGCTCAAACCACCTTATTAGAACATTTTTATATCTTTAGTTCATCTCATTTTTAAAATCTCTACATGGAATGCAGAAATATGGCAGAACAAACTTTGGGATACAGACAGAAATGGGATGGTATGTGATTGGTGCAAGAAGTAGTGAATTTATCTTTGAGAGAAGGGATGGGCCTGCATGTGCTTAAGGAAGTGGTGGTCCATCCTGTCCTCAAGGAGCCATCACCAGACCCAACCATGCTGAATAATTTCCAGTCTCCAATCTCTCCTTTATAAGGAAAGTTGTTGAGAAGCTGGTTGGGCTGCTGCTTGAAAGTGCTCTGGATGAGGCAGATTATCTGGATCCTTTCTTGTCAGGTTTCAGACCTGGGCACAGTACAGAGATGGCATTGATCACACTTGAGGACTTGTGGGGGGACTAGAACCAGGATAGGAGTGATACATTGTATCTGGTCCTCCTTGATCTCTCAGTAACCTTCAATACTATCAATCATGGTATCCTTCTGGACTGGTTCAGGGATTGGGAGTGGGAGGCAAAGTGCTATGGTGGTTCTCCTTTTTTCTCTGGGGCTAGTTCCTGTCAGTTTGATGGGGGGGAGGCTAGAGATCTAGCCAAAAGTGTTTGGTTTTTCAGATGCCTTAGGGCATTAGTCTCCCTCCACTCCTATTTAATATCCACATGAGACCAGTGAGTGACATCATCTGTCAGCACAGAGTGAGATATCATCAGTATGCTGATGATACTCAGTTGTACATCTCAACCCTGGGTCACCCAAATGATGCCATTGAGGTTCTGTCCCATTTCTGGAGCCTTTAGAGACCCGAATGGAAAACAGGCTTAGACTCAACCCTCGTAAGACCAAGTGGCTGTGGATTTTTGGACCATCTGGCTCTGGAGGCTTTCCATCTTTGTTTCTGCTTTGGGTCACACTGCCCCAAACAAACCCACTGCACAATAATCCTCCTAGATTATTGGCTTCTGCTTGGAGAGCAGGTGGCAGCAGTGGATCAGAGGGCATTTGCACAGCTCCATCTTGTGTGCCAGTTGGGGGCATGGTCACTCATGCCTTGGTGCCTTGCAACTGGATTACTGCAATGCAGTCTACATGGGGTCTGCCCTTGATATCCACTTGGAAGCTGTGACTGGACCAGAACACAACAACATGGGTAGTTATGACAGTACATCAGTATGCCCATGTAACACCTCTACTTCATGAGCTGCACTGATTACCAATGAGCTTCTGGGTGCAATTAAAGGTACTGGTTCTCACCTACAAAGTCCTTCATGGCTCAGGGCCAGGCTACTTGTAGAACCATCTATCTCCAATTATTTCTTCTTGTCTGGCAAGATCTGAAAGGGTTGGCATGCTCTGGGTTCTGTTGTTTAGGCAATGCCATCTGGCAGGATCCACTAGAAATGCTTTCTTTGTTGTTGCCTCTCCCCCTTGCAACAGCATCTCCCAAGATTTGATTGGCCCCAATCCTGCCTGCCCTTTGAAAGACATTGAAGACCTGGCTCTTTTCCCAGGTACTGATCCTGCTGGATGTATTTCCCTGACACTTTGTATCCTCATGTCTTTGAATTTTGTTTTTTTTTTCTATTTGTTTATTATATTGTTTTACATGAATTTATTGCTGTTTATTGATGAGGTATGCCACCCTGAGTCATGTGCTGATTGGACGGCTATATAAATTAAATAAATGAATGAATTAATAACAATTTTAAAAACCATTACTGTTACAATAATAGTTCATCTAAGTTGCTTACCATACCATTTCCTAAGGAAGTTACTAGACAAAATTCTCATAAATCCTGATAGACAAATCAACTCAATAGAAAATTCTTCAAGGACACTGTCAATTGTGCCTTCATATTCTGATCTGCTTCCATATAGTTTATGGTCAATTACCTACAAAAGTTAAGAGGAAATTAGAGAGGAAAAGAAAAAACTCCTAAACATTCCATCTTTGGGTGAACACTGAAAGCAGTTCTCTCAACATTCACCAATATACATTTGAAAGCCATCTAGGAGGTTTCAAAGTGTCAAAGTTCAATGTATATATACATTGCCCTCCATTCCCAGTTTTTGCAACGTATAGGTCCTTCTTCCACACTTATTGCTTCTCCATACCGCAATCCTTATTGAAAAAGAATGTGTATGACAATTCAAATAACAAAGATAGACAATTGTGCAGATCTTTTACAACTAATTCATCACTTGGAAGAAGGATACTACAGCTGACTGACTCCCAGTCAAGTTGCCTTTAAGGAGAAAGAAGAGGGAAGAAGAGGGCTCTTTCTCATTATCTATGTCATACTTAAAGAAAGCAGAAAGTATAACCACAGAGACTGAGAGTGCCAGGGTCAAAAGGACATTACAGTGTACCCACTACAGTTTATTGAACTTTGCAGATGCTTATTGATACTAATCACTGAAGTCAGTCTTGGAAACGTCATCTCCACCCATATGGCTGCAATGTATATCTACTTTTGGGAGAAGTAGTATAGTGTGGCACCATATTTTTCTCCTCACATGTTTACTTCTTTTCCTATTTATCTATTTGCACTTGGACTTCTCCCAATGTGGAAAACCTGACACAAAGCTAAGTAGATGAATATTCTGCCAGCACCAGGATACTCCCTAATAGCACCCCTGCAAAGACCCAGACATACCCTGATAAGGATTCCTTGACACTTGGCCCAAGGACAACTTTTTGGTCAAAACAAAGTGAGATTTAAGATATAAGTTGGAGACATCTGCACTTTGGGGGCTTTGGCATAGACCATCCAGAAGATGCTATGCTCCATTAGATCAGCTGGCGGTGTCATCTGCTGCCTGGAAGGAGCCTCTGGCAGCAGAACAGGCATGTATTTGGGTAATATTTCCCTCATACTTCTCTCTGTACTTTAAATCTTGTGGCAAGTAAGCTGCTGTTGCATTGCCTGCACTCCATAGATGGGGTTATTGCCTCTGCATCCTAAAAGAGGTTATTGCCTCTGGGCTTGGCTGGCCACTGCCCCCAAGGCATGCTCCCCTCAAACAATGGGCTGTAGTGATCTACCTTTACTGTATGTGTGTAAAGGCAGCTTGAGTGTGTTGCTACTAGGCTTGGAGATGTATTCAAATTAATATTAGATTATATCTTAACCTGGAACTAAACATACATTAATGAATTGGGTTCTTTTGGGCCTTTATATTTGTGGAGCATCCAAAGTAGTGAACATAAAAAATTTTAGAGTGCACGTTACAATTGAGAATTGCACACTACAATTATACCAACTAGTGCAAAAAGCAGCCTGAAAGCAATACTTCAAAAAAAGGAATAAAAAAGAAGTAGCAAAACATGAGATTGTGTAAATCAGATAGCTACAAAGCTTCCTTGCATATCACAACCTTAATTCTGGGTTACTTTCCTAGGTGGGAAAGAGAATAGTGAAAACAATAGAATGTCCTTACTCTGGTAGGGATCCCAGCCAGGGTTGCATTCCTCAGTTCTTCCACCCCAGACCTACTGGCAATTACTAGGACTACCCGGGAGCAACTTGCAGGCTCTTTTGCATATACCAGGAGTGCTGAAAGGCTTGTGCCTCAAAATAAAAGAAAAACATACAGAATGCATCAAAAGCATATCTGGAAATGCCTCAAAAAGACATTTTCTTGGGACAAGCAACAGAAATGCTACATTACTAATGCAGTGACTGTGTATCACCACATTGTTTATTATGAGGCTCAGAACAAGAAAGGCTTGTTCTGTTATTCAGACAGAAATTGTAAGTCCATATTTTCCCTTCCTTTTATTGTGAAAGGTCTCTTAATCACCTAATAGATTAAAGCCTATTATTAAAAATTTCTCATCTGAAAATGTTTAAAAACAATATATTTCTAATTATACCATAATTAAATTTGGGTAATGGAAGTTCTACTGACTCTTCAGTTTGATCAAGAGCATAACCACTAGAAATGTGATGAATTTTCACAAATCTTAAGAAAGTAGCTTCAGGACAATATGAAAAGTACAGACAGGCAACTTCAACTATAAGACATGGATGTATACATCAAATATACAATGTGATATTAGCAGTCTCTCATTGCAAAAAATATTTTAGCCCATAGAGAATAATTGCATGGCTACCTGTTCCAGAAATAAGAACAGCTACTTTAACTTTGTGCTTTCTGTGTGTGGTCTGGAGCTGACTCTCTGCATTAGAAACATCCTTCAAAGATGGCCATTTATTCTGTAGCAGCGCTTCAGAGAGATTCTTGATTTCTACATGGGGATATCCTGAAGAAGCATATGCTTAAAATATAGTAACTACAAGCATTACATTTAGAATTCTGTTAAATGTGATCTTTTCCAGATATTCTGAACTAAATTACTGAAGGGATAACCTTGTCTGTAATTACTGTATGCTTTCGAACAGAAATCTCTTGCACTTCTCCTGATCATTATTCCAGAGCTGATACTCTGAGTTTTTACATCATACCACAAAAGAATTGGAAGAAAATAGTAATTAGTAAAGTGTTCTGCATAGCTTCCTTCTCATCTAAGGCCAGCATTTTCATAACATAGGCAGGGATAGGAAACCTTGACATCTTCTGAAGTTTAGTTCTAAGGCAACCCCAGTCAGAATGGCTAATGTCTAGAGTGTAATCCAAAATATCTGGAAATCAACAGGTTACCTAACACAAGTTACCAAACATCCATAAAGGTTAGACCACAATTTACACAACCTTAGGGAACTAAAGGATACTAAAATCAAATTGTCTATTCTGACTATTTCATTGTGAATGGCCAGTGTAGATTATCTATCACAACAAAATAAATAGAAAAAGATAGATTAAAAAGAAGGCCTTGTTTCTATTTCTTTCACCCAGAAAAGCAATATGTAGTACATCTGTATACACCTGAACTCAGAAATAAGCAGCACTGAGTTCAAGTCCCACTGAACTCAAAGGAACAAACCTCTTAATACGCTCATATACTATAATACTGCACTGCAGTAAGGTTTTATATGCATTTTGAGAATCCATTCAAGAAGACAATGCACAGTGAGAATGTGCCTCTCATAATGAATAGTGCATATTGAAATTGAGACTTGAAATTCTAGTTCTAGTGTCTATATGGGTAAAATTTAATTGTAATAGGGCACAAAATTATTAAGAATAGCTCTGAGATGAATATGAATATCTGTTTTTCTTACTCTCCCCTTCAATTGGAGTTAAATCTTGATCTATATTCTCTATTAAAACAAACTCAGCACTGGATATATACCTGCCTTGAAAAACCATATGGTGATTTTTAAGAACCAAAACAATTTCAGGATGGTCGTGTTGGAAGAAAAAGTTATCTTACCAAGTCCATTTCTGAGCCGGGAGTAAAGACACTGACAAATTGCATGGAGTTAGGAGATTTATTCTTCACTCAAGAGCAGAAGCAATGACAGCAAGCAGTAAGGTGGGCAGCCGCACTAGACCCCCGCCATACAGCATATTATATACCTTTTGTTACATTCAGACCTACATTAAGAAGTCATGACCCTCTGATCCAATCAAAGCCAGTTACCTTGATCCATACTCCTCCCTTTACCCA